GCAGGCGCAGATGCAGATGATGACCGGCCTGCAGGCGCCCGTGAGTCCCCTCTCCTCGCCTACATACAACAAACATACTATTCATTTCAAATCTTTTATCTATCTTTTAAATGTTTCTCTACTTTACCTTTTACTAATGTATTGTGGTTTCTTAATTCATGGGTTTGTGTGTGCGTAGACGCAGGCGGCGGGCGCGGCGGGCGCTGCCGGCGCTCCGGGCGCGCACGAGGCGGCCCCGCGCCCCGAGGGCAAGGACGACGCCGCCAACGAGTCAGACATCGAGTTCGTGGAGACTGGTCCGCAGGTCATCGAGATCCCCGACGCCAACGACTCCAGGTGGGCGCCACCCCGCGCCACCCCGCGCCACCCCGCACCCACCCCGCACTCGTGCTGTTTACAAATGTTTACTGGTGCTGTGTGCAGGAGCCCCTCTCCGCGCGCGCGCCGCCATCGCTCGCGCTCCAAGTCGCCGCGCCGCCGCCGCCGCTCCCGCTCCCGCTCCCGCTCGCCGCGCCGCCGCCGCGACCGCGACCGCGACCGCGACAGGTACCTCACCTCACCTCACCTCACCTCACCACTCACTTCACCACTCACTTTATTTTCAACGTTTTTTGTGCCTAAGCGATCACCTTTTTTTAATAATATTGACTTAGCAACTAAGTCCTTTCGGATTTTGTCGATGGATAAACTTAATGTAATCCAGACACTGGCGAGGCGACTGTTACGGTCTCCTACGTCTCCTGCAAGATGGAGGTGATTTATGTGCATCTCTCCTCTGCGCCGGTTAAAAACAAATTTGCGAATGCGAGAGTTTTAGTTTGGTTTTCCCTAACTATAGTAGTTTTGTTGGAGTCGATAACCGGGGCCGATGGTACCGATTTTAGTGTCCGCTTTTCATAGGGATCGAGACAGAGACAGGGAGAAGAGTCACAAGGAAAGAGAAGCGGAGAAAGAGAAGCAACGTGAGAGAGAAAAGAAAGGTTTACCACCGATCAAGAAGGAAAATCTCAGCGGTAAGTTTTTACATTTTAATAACGTTAAATTATTCAAACTTTCGTGAGACATTATAATAAACATTATATAAAAACGGCTAAATACTCACGTATATTCGTCCGGTGGCGGCACCGACTAGTTTCGAGCTCATCGGGGGCCCTTCATTAGGTAAGTGGGAGTGGTATTATGTTGCGGACGCGGCTCCCAGCTCAGTCAACTTCAGTAACGTGCACAGTAAGCGGCAGACCGCGTCCTCCCCCCGCTCCCCTCCACACAGCGACACAGCGACGCTGATATAGTTTACGTTCGTTAGTAAAGAGGCAAGTGTGTGTATGTGCGTGCCCAGTTTGCAGCACGACGCTGTGGGTGGGCCACCTGTCCAAGCTGGCCACGCCCGAGGAGCTGTCGGACCTGTTCGGCGGCGTGGGTGGAGTGCACTCCATCGACGTGGTGGCGCCGCGGGGCTGCGCCTTCGTCGTCATGGAGCGCCGCCGCGACGCCGCCAAGGCGCTCGCCACGCTCAACCGACACAAGCTGCACTCCAAGGAGATCACAGTGAGACCGCGCCCCTGCTTCTTTATAATACCATGCAGACCACGACATAAAACAGTATGCACTATCCGCAGGTGGCCTGGGCGGCGGGCAAGGGCGTGAAGGGGCGCGAGTGGAAGGACTACTGGGAGGCGGACCTGGGCGTGGCCTATCTGCCCTGGGAGGCCCTGCACCAGCGCTGGCTGCTCGGTGCGCTCTCGCTCGACGCGCTCGAGGACGGCGGCGCCGTCGACGAAGAGACGCTGCCGCCCTGGCTGCCGCCGCGGGTACGTTCGCGCACCCCGCGCACCCCGCGCCCCCCGCGCTCCTCGCGCCGCTCACCACTGACTCCTCGATTGCAGATCATCCCTAAGGCCATGATGGATGGGCTGCCGCTCCTGAGCGCGCTGGCGCCGGCCGGGCCTATGGCCGCGCGCGCAGCTCTGCCCGCGTTGCCCGCCGCGCCGCTGCCCGCCTCGCTGCCCGTCGTGCCGCGCATGCCGCCGCCCGGGTGCGTGTGTAGCACCATCTCCCCGCCACCTGCCGTCACCTCCCCGTCACTCCCCGTCACCTCCCCGCCACCTCCCCGGCCGGACCGCGCCAGTAATCGGTCGCTTTATGCACAGGATGACTGCCGGCATGCCCCCCGGCTTCGCGGCCACCATGCCGCCCGGTATGCGCCCGCCCGGCTTGCCCGCCGGAGTGCCCGCCGGAGTGCCAGGTAACCTCCTCGCCCCCTACTATGTATGTAGCCCGAGCTCGAAAATTTATTATTAAAATATACACCGATAATTGTTACAGACCTGTCTCGTGTTGTTTGATTTTTTATAACAATGAAGTAAATGTGGAAGCCATGAGGGTTATTGCCCATGTTGCAGTTCTAGCTCGTTGTTGAGAGATGTAGAAGTTGTGCGTGTGTTGCAGGCCTGGCACGTGACGCCCCGCTGCTCGGCTTCCCGCCCGCGCTGCCGCAGCCCGGTGAGTGTGCCGCCATTACGATTTCGATCTAACCTGGATTTCATTTTAAATTATACTAAATTTAAATTGTGGCGATTTTGCCGTTCAGGTATGGTGGGCGGCTTCCTGGGCGGGCTGGTGGGCGCGCACGTGGGCGGGCTGGTGCTGCCGCTGCACCCGCACGGGCCGCCGCACCGCCAGCCGCCGCCCGCGCACCCCGCGCTCGACACCGCGCCCGCCGCCGAGTCCGCCGCGGAGTCCGCTGACACCGCTCCCGACGACGCCATGGAGCTGGATCCCGAGGAGCCGCCGCCGGAGCCCGCCCTGCTGCCCGACCAGGTGCGCCCACAGCCGCGCCCTAGGTCGCACTCTCGGCCCGCACCACAGGGCCGCGCCTAACGCGAGACCGCCCTTTGCCCAGATCCAGGCGCTGATGTCGAAGCCGCCGCCCAACTTCCAGACGTCGGAGCCACCGCCGCCGCGCCCGCCGCCCGACCCCGCCTTCGACTCCTTCGACGCCTCGCAGCCGCCGCCCGACGAACGCCGCGACCGAGACCGCGACCGCGACAAGGACCGCCGCGACCGCGACCGCGATCGCGACCGCCGCGACAGGCGTGACCGCGACCGCGCCCCCCGCGACCGCGACCGCGCCCCCCGCGACCGCGACAGGTAGCCGCCTGCTGCAACCCACGAATACAAGCATTTGCAATGCAATGCGAACAATATTGTGATGTTGTATGTATAACTATAAGATTACATTCCAGGGAAAGAGAGGAAAGAAGAGATCGTGACCGGGAACGTGGACGTGACGCGCGAGAGAGTCGCGAGCGACGCGACCGCGACCGCGACCGGGAGCGCGAGCGCGCCTGCGCCGGCGCCGGCGGGTGAGTCGGCTTGCTTTTTACTTTATAAACCTTCTTAAATGTTTTACAATAACATTCTCATTTCGGCGTACGTTGTCTTCTGGATTTTTATGTAAAATTAGCAGCCACCCTCGACTCCGTCCGTGCGGAATTTAAAACAAATTGCATTGCTAGGCTATGTTCGATATGTACGCCGAATTTAATCGAGATCTATACAGCCATTGCGGATTTACCTTTAAACATCCATCCATCAAAACATTTGCATTTAAAATAATATTAAAATATGACAAAATATTTTATATTACATTTGCGCGGTGCTCTGTGCAGAGATCGCAGCCGGGAGAAGTCTCCGCGAGCGAGCGGCGGCGGTGCGGACGCCGAGAAGAGTCTGCAGGAGAGGCTGTGGGAGATGGCCAACGGCGGACCAGAGCGCCGCGACCCGCGCGACACCCCGCACCCCCCGCACCCACCGCACCCGCCGCACCCGCCGCACCACGAGACCCCCGCGCCCGACGGTACGGACGCAAACAAAATAAATCGACTACAAATACAGCCCTAACGAGAAATTGTATAGGGGCGGGCAGCCTAGTTGAACGCTGTTGTGTTTCTGCAGGAGATGGCGCGGAGGCGGGCGAGGAGGCGGGCGGCGCGGCGAGCGGCGCGGCGGGCGGCGAGGCGGGCGGCGCGTGGCCGGCGCGCATGCCGCCTCCTTTCCGCGCAGGTCGGTTGCCCGCTAATATTATTTAAGTTTACTTGTTGCTCGACCTCGTCGTCGCACCTTTAGCTCACTAATATGCCAATTATATTTTCCAGGGCCCTGGATGGAAGTGCAAGGGCAGCCTTTCGGTCCTCGTTTCAATGGAATGGGGCCATCTCTCTTTAATAGACCTCCGTTTGAGAGACCCTCGTTCGATGGTGGGCCGATATTTGAACCGCGTTTCGAGAGGCCTCCTTTCTCTCGTATGCCCTTCGACATGAACAGACCTAGGCTTCCATTCGAAGGCGCCAGGCCGCCCTTCGATGGCTCGCGACCGCCCTTTGACGGTCCCAGGCCTCCGTTTGATGGACATAGGCCGCCTTTCGACGGACCGAGACAACATTTCGATGGCCTTAGACCACCGTTCGATGGACCCGGGCCGGCGTTCGATGGCCCTTCTAGAAAGTTTGACGGAGACAGACCTTTCGATGGTCCCAGATTTGACGGTCCCGCAGAATATTTCGACAGGAGCGGTAGATTTGAAGATAGAGAACAATTTAACGATAGAGCTTGGAATGGAGAAAGAGATAGGGACAGAGATTGGAACAGGAGAAACGAATGGGACGATCGAAGAAAGGAGCGCAGAAGTAGAGAGCGCGAAGATAGATTCAGAGATAGGAGCGATAGGAGAAGAACGATTGAGGAGAAACCTAGACTATCGCGAGACGAGAGGAGTTCCAGGCGAGACAAGGACAGGAAATCCAGATGGGGCGCGGCAGAAGACGTCGTCCCGACCGAACGGCGTCAGCGCGCCGACACCTCGCTGCCGGAGGACGCCCAGGGCGACGCCCCGGCCCCGGCCCCGCCCACCGCGCCCCACGGCGGCGACCTGCCCGACCAGCCCGACCTGCCCGACCTGCCCGCCGGCGTTCCCCAGCCGAGTGAACGCGACGGCGGACCTGCACAGGTGGATAAAGACGCAGAAAAGCTCGTTTTGTGCACACACGACGCCGCCGACGACACCCGCGCTGCTGGCGCTGACGACACTCCCGCCCTCACAAACACTCCCGCACACCTCTACGACGCGATCGACGCAGTTGACACCGACTTTGCTAATCCCCCGCCGGGTGAGGCCTCCCACACTGCGCACGTCTCGCCCGCCGCGCCTGACGCGACCGCCACGCCCGCCGCGCCCACCGCGCCCGCCGCGCCCGCCGCGCCCGCCTCGCCCGCCACACCCGCCGCGCCCGCCGCGCCCCCCGCATCCGAGGCAGAAGCACCGTCGCCCGCCCCGGCCCCCGAGCCGACGCCCGACTCGCCGCTTAGTTCGAATTCGGTCGATATGTTTAATACAAAGGTCGGCTCTTCTAGTATTCAAAATGAAATAGAGAAGGAAGCTCAGAATGCCGAGATGCTGGACGGGATTGCTTGACACAGGCGAAAATGGAAATACGGATATTTTCAGTGGAATTGATTCGGGTGACGTGTTGGACCCGAAGCGGAGAGTACATCGCGGCCGCGCCCGGCGCCGCCCGCCCGGCAGTGCCCGCCGGCCCGCCGACCCGCCGGCCCGCCCCGGCCCGCCGGCCCGCCCGTCGCCGTACAACGCCAAAGATTTTGTTTTATACGATACAAATGAAATATTTGAAATATACGAGTGCCTTATTGGTTAGCTTTGTGTTTTGTTTGTCGGCGGCAGAAGAGGAGCCGCCTGCGCGCGCACTACGCGGCGCCGTGGGCCAGGTACGTGCCGGCGGCCGCGCGCGCACCCGCACCCGCCGCGCGCCTGCAGTGCGTGCGGTGCGTGCGGTGCGTGCGGTGCGGTTGCGCACGCGGCCGCTGCATTTTATATATAGAACGTGGCGGTCGACAGGAAGCACAGCTAGCATAGCTCCGTGTCCGAGTGCCGCAGCCGCTTGCTCCCCCTCCGCCGCCACGCAGTAGATGTGTGCGCCGCGCCGCCGTCACCCGTCACCCGAATCCGCTCCCGGATGTCCCACGAGAAGATGGAAGACGCAGCAGCAGCAGCAGCAGCAGCAGCAGCAGCCATCCGCTTTCTTTATATTATCGTCAACAGTTCAAACTGATGACTCGTGTTTTATGTTTTTTATTGCTCGGTGAGGGTAGAAATTAAAATATATATTCCATAATGAATTATTGCGTAGTCGACTAACTCGCTGTTATTTATAATAAACTTATATAACTTTTATTAGATTAGATCATTAAAGATAATTTTTATAAAGAGAGCTCTGTTGTTATATTGTTCGATCACGAGGTTGTACTCGTACGTTCGGTTGATTGTAGCCCGAGAAGAGTGGCGAAGAGGGATACTCATACGACATAGACTCGAGGTTGCGATGAAGAAGCTGCAGTTGTAGATATAGCTGTAACATATGCGTCGATCATTGTCATATTTGTGCTTAAATAAAAATTAAAAAGTTTTCTGAATGATTTTTTATTGAATGCTGTAGATATAAACTAGGTTTTGAGAAGCGAAACGGCGCGGCGGCGCACATCTTCTATTTCCTGCTTTTGCTCCGTTTCAATTGCAGGTTAACAGCAGTCACGGTGAGAGGTACCGCCGCACCTTCCGATGGACTCCCAGCTTCCTAACCAGCTAACTATCTGGGGAACCGCCTGTTATGAGATTTCCATCACAAGTAACTAAGATTGTCGGTGGATTCCAGTGATGCCGAAATACATGTGGAATTATCACAGAAAGAAAGTGTAAAGCGTAACGTTAATTTATTTAGTTCTTTGATGAATCTATCCTAAACTGGCATGACCAGGAAAGAAAATTAGTGATTCGCGTCGTAAAATGCAGATATCGAGATCATCCAATAAAATTTGGTCTTTCCAAGTTTCGTGTTCTTTTCAGGTGTTGTTATTTTACTGGATAATCAGCTCACTATACGTCTACTCGGAGCCCATCCTGAATTAGGAGTGACAAGACCATCTACGCTGACCCACTGCGTGTTGGTTGACTTCTAACATATCTTGGAATCTCACCGTTGCATCACGTTGTTTTCCTTCACCGTAAAAACGTCCGATAAATGTACATATGTAAATTGAAACACATTAGATCATAAGGTGGCAAACGAGCGAGCGGCCACCTGAAATCACTGATATAGCGAACTGAGCGATGCCCATAGACATACGCAATTGCATATGCGTTGCCTACCATTAATCGACGGAGGAGAGAATGCACAGAAAGAAAATATTTTCCCTTTCCATACATCCTCTCATCCGGAAAGTCCACTTCCCATCCTTATAAGAAAAAGGGTGGGAAGGGAAAGTGGACTAAGTAAGACCTCCGAGACGCACAGTCATCAGATTGTACGCGGAATAGCTTCCACTTGACGCCTGTCTTCGTTGTGGTCGTGGTATTTCACCGGGCGAGCCGGGACAATACGTGCGAAAATGTTAAAGCAGGCTCTACCACTGTTAAGAAACACCTGGGAAATTAAAATGAAACATCGAGGTTTTAATATTGAAACAAATAGTACAGCAAGAATATTTTAAAGTCGATTCCATTCTATACATTTTTTTATTCTTAATTTGCATATGTAATACACGTAACCCCGTGGGTTTTATAATTTTTTAACCAATAACAAAACCTGAAAAGTCACATTCCCGTTGCAACACCCCGTGCCCTCCTCCGCCATAAAAAAACTCTATTTGAAAACAACCTCTCTTACACTACTTCTAAACATAGGGTGCTTTTTATATCAGTAAAAGCGACTTATAATAATTGCCTATATAGTGTGTCTATTTAAGATAGATTAGTTTGACCAGTGACGCCTATAAAGTATTGATTTCATTTTGAATGACGATTAATGTTGTAGTTCTTGGACGGCTGCCATAGTGTCGGAGTGTACATCTATCGATAATCGGTATTGTAATAATATTATTCGAAAAAATGTATACTATTAATTATAATTTTATTACTTTCTGAATGTAATACATACATTAACTTTGTCTCGCGCAGTTACATTAAAAACAGCTCTTTTTATTTCCCAACATCTCAATTTTTAATATTTTATTTTTCTACGGAGTTTTGAAGAATAAAGTTGGCAAAAAGAAACAATTTCATTCATATTTGCCCGAATACTGAAACGTCACTCAAATATGTAACGGCGTCTTAAAAGATAAGACCACGCTTAAACTCCAATCTGGAATTCTCAAACGTCAGTTAAAGGCGCATCTCAATTTTGAGGCTACTCAAGTAAGACGATGCTTACAGGCAAAGAGTATAATAAGTATACTATAGAAAGAGGGGCAACTCGCACGAAGTCGTGGATCCACGGCGATTGTGGCGCTCCATGCGTATAATCGCTGAACTAATTTTTTTTTTTTTTGGTACCTATATACGTAGGCACGCTTATTTAGCTCACTATAATAATAACTAATAAGTGGGAATCTAATAAAGTTAAAATTGACATTAAATCAATGTTCAAAAATAATATACCCACTTATGTAGTTATTAATATAGTGAGCCGATATCAAGTAGTCTTCTATGAAATACCTCTATTAAAATGATCCTATTATTATTGGGGAAATAAAAACAAAATATTTTTATATTTTTGTATATTATTTATTATATTTCTACATAACTTAATTTTAAATCTATGCAAGTACATATACATCAATGACTTTCAAGATATCAGCTCAATATTTTAATTTTTAATATATATATTTGAAAATTACATTTACGGTAATAAATAGTATAGCGCGGTCACAAAAGAATGCATACCCTGTAATTAAAACCAAACCCCAAAATATTTTCAATCACATGCAAGCTGGCAACTGGCAATTTGTAGTAATTTGCGAGTTTAAACACTCTGAACATATTCTCTTACAACATAGGCAAGCAAATTTTTCTTTACAATAAAAAATTACAAATAAAAAAATATATTTTTTACATATACACACATGGACCCACCTACTAATTTCAGACACATCAGTTTATGGCTCTATAATTCCAATGATTGGCACACATTTTCTGAACATCACTGACCGTCTCTCAGGAAGGGGGAAACCGTGTATATGTGCACCTACAACAAACAAACAGAATGTGATTTCCTATCAAGTATAGGAACTGATATGTAAAATGTATTAGAAGTAGGGCACCATTCAATATGATAACCGGAAAGGATAAATCACTGTGGTGCTAAAAACTACACCAAAATACGGAAATATTTAAATGTTTAAATGAGTCTGACGTATGGGAATAACATGAAAATTTTTATTGAATTGTAACTTACCATAATCAGTCCATCTAAAACACAGTTGCGTACAGCGTCATTTTTCACGAAAACACATTTTAATTAAAAACAAAATGAATGAAACAACATTTAACTAAGAATACAAGAACAGAAATAGAAATACGAAAAAACGTAGCGGTTTGATGACACATGAATGTCTCGATGACACAAATGATGTTTCTTCTTAGCCATGAGATGAAATGATGTGTACCAAAATTTAAAAGGTGGCGCCACTTTCCATACAAATCGTCCTTCTTCTAAGTTTCCACCCCCTGCTTACAGGCCACTCAAACCAAATTTCGTATTCTCAATCGTCACTCAGTGTCATTTTTCTGTCAAATGAACTGTCATGTCGACTTAAGTTTGTCAAAAATTTAAGAGCGGTCGTGAGGCATCTCAAATCTCTCTCAAATCTCAAATCTCAAAACCTTACGAGAAACCATGTCTGTATCGTAATTATCATCGCTTTCGGACCATGAAAGGCCTTGTGTGTGTCGGCGAAACCCAAAAAATCCTCGATGCTTTTGAAAAGTATACGGATGCGGAGTTTAGCGCAAGGTTTCGCTTGTCTACAGAAACAGTACTGTATTTGGACACCGTCTTTGAACCACCACCACCATCGTAAAACCAGAAACACAGTTGAATGGCTTTTTGGCGTTCTAAAACGAAGGTGCATTCAAGTGGGGATGGTTTTAAACAAAAATGTTCCTGCTGGCGTCATATCATGTGCAGTATTGCACTTTTACAGGACGATTCACTGTTAGAGGAGGACATTATGAACATGGAAGAGTTTACAGATCCACCTGTAGACAATGAGTCTAATGAAAATTTCATTGTTAGAATAACCTTAATAATACACATTTCTCTTTTTCAACTTGCTTTTATTTTTAAAAACATACAATCTTTATTATTAACAGTGGCAGGTTTATTTTATCTTAATTTAAGTATTTGCATTTCTAACTTATGTTTATATTCTAAATCAGCATTTCTTAGCTTGGCTCTAAAATAGGCTTGCTAGAGGTCATCCCCATGCCTTTTTTGAATTGTTTTTGAATTGAATCAAAAACAATAACCACGAAATTTTCGATTGCAAGTTCTATGAGAACAACGATCGAAAATCGAAAAATTTCATAACCGTTCTTAATCAACTATCTCTAGTGAATTGTCAAACTAATTTATCTTAAATAGACACACTAGCCTATTAAAATAGAAGCAAACAAAAACTTCACATAAAAAGTAAGTAACCATGCGTGCCCTCTATGTTTTGGCACGACAACTAATTCGTTAGTTCCAAAAATCAGCCTCTGAGGGCCTGATTTTTTTTTGGATATCTTAACTAAAATTGTTGACCAGCTCAATTTGTACTAGTGAGCCTAGCAAAAATAATTGTGACAAGCCCCAACGTATCGTCATCGTAGTAAAAAATTTAAAAGTGCAAATTATAAACGCGAAAGTTTACACGGATGAATGGATGTTTGTTTGAAAGCATCTCCAGAACTGAACAAATGGATTTCGCTGAAAATTGGCGTAGGTGTAGAAAGTGAAGTTTGAAAGAATACATAAGCTACTAAAATTAAGATTAAAAAATCTTGCGTGGGCGGAGTCCCGGGCGATAGCAAGTTTTGACATAATTGACGATACGAAGTCGCTTGTCACAAATATTCGTGCTGGGCCCACAGCATAGGGTTATGATTTTCATGTGATTTCAACATGTAAATGTTGCAAAAGAATTGTGTCAGAGAAGTATAGGAAGTGTATTTATTTGATTCAAAAGCAAATGATCGCGTCTCAATACACAAGATAGGCACATGTTATATGATGGCTTTATTTTAAACAATAACAAAATAGAATTCAGCATCTCCTGCCGGCCGCGGTGAACCCGCGGTCAAGCCGCGTGCTGTCCGCGGCACATACGCCAGTAGCGCCCCCGCAGACCCAGCAGCTGCGCGTGCGTGCCGCGTTCTACTATTTTACCTACGAAGTTTATAAACAAACATACATGAGTTTTGATCCGGTTGATTTTTCGGTGCGTTACTCGCAACACGCTCGAACTATCCTGCGACACTACAAAACCGAATATATATTATAAGTAGGTATAGAAGACCAAACGACGGTTCACTCGTGGCTAGTTCTCAGGTGTCAAACTTTAACATTGACTTAAAAAAGTAATGCGCATCGCAACATTAACCTTGATCCAAGACGCAGATGAGGTCGGCGTCCTTGACGGTGGAGAGGCGATGTGCGACTGTGATGCAGGTGCGGCCCTCCGCCGCGCGCTCCAGCGCCCGCGTCACCGCCTGACCACAAACACATTCTCAGCTGACCCCTTCCATGTCTTCCTTCTTAATCAAGTAACCGTTTGCTATTAAATTGTTCAACCGTTATTATATCATCACCAAAATTATACCAAACTCCAAATGCACGTTATTAATTAAGTAATAATAGTAGCGGACCCGAGGCGAGGATTTTGCACCAAAACAAGTATTCCTACCAAAAATGAAACGTGTGGGGTCGCACTTTTAGCCGATCACGATACTAAGCAAAAAGTCTATTGTTAAAAATGGCTTAGCATGTCGAAACTGATGGGATGAGTTAACTGGACGCAGAAAAGTCCACATTTCAAATATCTGTCAATTTGCAAGGAAATAGCGGAGTCACGATGTTGGAAAAAAAAATCGTTGAATTGATAATCTCCTTTTTGAAGTCGGTTCAAAAACGACAACTTGATATTGTCGAGTGGGGGAAAATTTGAAATGTAGAAATAAATCCCCACTTCGCCTACAACCAAAAAGTTAAAATGTGGAAGAGGTCACGAAATACGCGGAAGCGGCTCAAGTTGGAACAGTCTTTAGATGCAGTATAGTTCAGTCGGAGAGGAGGGCGGAGGAGTGCGCACCTTCTCGCTGTTGGCGTCCAGGGCGGAGGTGGCCTCGTCCAGCAGCAGCAGGCGCGGCCGGCGCAGCAGAGCGCGCGCGATGCACACGCGCTGCTTCTGGCCGCCCGACAGCTGCGCGCCGCTCGCGCCCAGGTTCGTCTCGTAGCCCTGCATCATGCAACCGACAGGGAACAGTGGGAGAGCGCTGTCACCGACCTTGACCTTAACATTTAAATACACGAAGCTGCGCACCTGCGGCAGAGTGAGGATGAAGTTGTGTATGTCGGCGGCCTTCGCGCAGTCGATCACCTCGTCCATGGGCACGTCGCGCGCCGTGTCGCCGTACGCTATGTTCTCTGCCAGCGAGCGGTTGAAGAGCACGGGCTCCTGCTGCACCACGCCCAGCTGCCGCCGCAGCCGCACCAGGGTCAGGCTCGCGCGCGTGTCCCGCCCGTCCAGCTCCTGCGCACGTCGCATTGTATGGAACTGCGCCCCGGGCACCCGGACGTCCGGTCATCCGGACACCCGGACATCCGGATGCCTGGACACGTGTACTCCGACCCGACCGCGCATTCCTCGCGACGCTCCTCGTGCAGCAGTGGGACACGAGGGCGGGAATGTGCGGTCGATGTTCGGTTTCCCGCTTACGATGGTGCCGGAGTCGGGGTCGTAGTAGCGCTGCAGCAGCTGCAGGATGGTGGACTTGCCGCAGCCGGAGGAACCGACCAGCGCCACGGTCTGGCCGGCCTCCACCTTCAAATTGACTCCTTTCAGAATTCGCTGATGCGGCCGCGTGGGGTAGCTGAACTCCACGTCCTTGATCCCGAAGCTGCCGGTGGCCACCTGTCAGGAATAAGTGCGCTCGTCTGTACCACGATATATTCCATCGCAATCGATACTCGAGTTAATGGAACGTGCCGGAACCGCGTCGTCTTTCTCCTCTACTTTCGACCGAATCGGTGCATACTTTGCGTTTTTTCGTATTCAACGTACGTCTCCAAACTCACGCAAAACGGTCCACGGCCACTGCGAGCCTCTATTTTGATCATTACCCAATTTTTGTCGTCTTTTACGCCATCTTCGGTCTTGACTTTCGGCTCCCTGTGGACGACGGCCAGTATCCGGGCGCAGCAGGTCCTGGCGGCGTCGAAGCCCGGCGCCATCACCAGCGCCTGGCCCAGCATGTACGCGCCGTACATCAACGCGCCGTTCACCCTGCGCCGAGCACCGCCACATCGATCACATCTCAGTTGGATATTTATTTTATTCCATTCAAAAGTATTTTAAATGAAGA